ATCCAGATTAATTTTTTTTAGCGTTACTTATTATGATTCTTCACATAATCATACTACAATAATGATCACGTATCCGTTTTAAAGGAAGTCGTTTCTCACTTTAGTCTCGCGAACAGTCTAGGTTAATAGGTAATATACGTATATTAAGGATAATCTTAACTGACATTCCGCAAATCTGTCAGTAGAAGAGAGCACAGACTGAGTAGACAATGCACAGGGAGTCTTCAAGATTTGAGAGTAAAGGTGAGGTTGCGCAATTTTCGGTTTGACTCGAACTTCCCGCTTGAGAATGAAGATAAGTTGGCGAACTTTCGGTTTGACGGTATGAACAAATTGCCCGAACTTCCATTTATGGCTTCTGGTATCTACCAGCTTAGTACCGAGAGATATAAATTTTAGTCCATGATTATCCGTAGAATCATGTATGTAAAGACATAATAGAAAGACCCCCTCGCAACTACTACGAGAATGTAGGATTAATTACAAAAATCTGGATTGAAAAAACGAATGGAAATAAGAAAATAACGGAAAAGATATAATCTAAAGAAAGTTAGTAAAAGAGAAAAACAAAGAAAAAGAGATAGAAAGAGATATAAATTCCAAGTACACATTGAAATGTTAACGACGATAATAAATTAGTCAGAGACATTTAAGTCAGCGTTAAGTTATCTGAAATAAATAATGTTTGCTTTGTAACGTTTACAAAAGAAAGCCTAATTCCTTAACCGACATAGTGATTCCATATTGTTAAGACATTTATTTTATGAACTACCGATACTCACTTACTTATACTAATTATTTCACTATAGATAGTTGCCACGGTGATCAATACAACCACACTAGGGCTCGAAAACAAAGAAAATGGCCTAGGGAGGAACCCACGGTATGGGTTGGCGAAGAGGGAACCCTAGCAAATATCTTCCTATATTATATAATATGTAGAAGAAGAATTTTACAATAGAAATTAGTTTTCACTTTTCGTTTAGTGTTCAAAAGATCAGATTTGCTTTGTTAAGCAGATGTGAAAAATATGTAGCGAGTTATAGAAAACAAATTTTTATTTTATATTGGGAAAAGGAAAACTTTGTAAAATCGTTGAGCTGCTGATTTTGTCTGAGATTAGATCAGATCTTATAAAAAATGTGGAAATAACGTAAGGCTGAAAATATTGATGCATGGCCGAAATAAAGTAAGTGTGTGCCTAATTGAGCAGCTATTTACCTTTACCAGGTGAGCATTTATTATAATTACGATCAAGTATGCAAGTGTGCAAAGTATGCGAGCACTAACTTGACTTTCGTCTTGTTTTTTGAAATTTCAGAAACCACTATGTAAACGTTAGTTCAGCTGAAACCTTAAAAAGGAAAAGAGAAGACCTAGAAAGCTATAAGACTTTTTTTTTAATTTTGATGAAACTACAAGCCTATTTTTGTTTAACATTTCCGAATACCTTTTGCACCGAACGCATGTGTAGTTTATATAAACTTCAAGCTTAATATTCTTTTTTGCTTTTACTCCTTTCGGTATTATTCCCTTCAGTATAATTCTCAATAATTCGATACGAGTACTGGTTAAGTCGCTAATGAATTATAATGCAATTGTAAAATTATATAGCAAGCTTACTATGCTACGAACAAAGTATTACATGCGATAAAATTTCCAAATTTTGAGTAAATTTTTATTTATGAGGAAATTACGTGCACTTAAATAAAACAATGGTTTTTATTACTCACACGATTACCGCGAAATTCTAATTTAATCGTTATCACAGATCTTAAATTAAATAAAATTTAAACAAGATTTGTTTTATTTTTCTCATAATTACTGTAAAAATATAAAAAAAAAGAGTATTCTGTCCGTTAAAAACGACAAAAGAAAAAAAAAAAAAAAGACAAACAATGACTATTTTTAAATATAACGCAACATTTTCCGTTTCTTTTGCTTTATTTGTCTTTTTTGTTGTGCGAAAAAAAAAAGAAAACAACCTAATGATTATAACCTTAAACTAGTTTATCATATATAATACGCTTTACAAGAGACATGTTTTCATGTAACATAGATAAGCTGAACAATTAATGTCTTTTTCGCATGATATATATAAAAGACAAAAATAAAGTTAAAAAAAAATTCAAATAAAAGTGTTATTTTTATTTAAGAATAAACAAATTGTCAATTATTTTATTTGTTTTTTAAATTTTTATTTAATTGTTATTTAATTTTATTTTTCATTCATTTCGTTTTATTATCTTCAGGTTCGTTAACCTATTCAATTAAGCAATAATTTGCAATTACTTTCATAGAAATAAATAAAACTTAATAAAAAAAACTTTAGTTTGCGCATGCATTTCGTAACCTTTTAAGTGAAAACAATTCTTTTGTAAAGGTTTTTAGCCGCCACTAAAACAAATTTGCCGCTAAAAGCGATTCTTAAAGAATTTATGTTATTCTCAATACGCGCAAGCGTATATACATACATTTGAGCTGACATGTTATATGAGCATTAAGTGTACGGGTGAAGTTAAAAAACTAAAAACAAAAAAAGCAAAAAAAAAGCAAAAAAAGGAAAAAACAATAAAAGCAACTACACATTATTATGCAAATACACCCATAATCAAGGTCTGCTGTGTGTGTACAATGAAGCAATTTGTGCAGCCCAACCTTAAATTAATCAAATGTTATAGTTTAACCGATAAATGAAGTATATTTGGTTTGGTATGCAGGTGTCTGTGTAAATATGTTTTTTCTTTGCCTCTTAATGCATTATTATGAAAGATATGTCATTAATAGGAATTGAAGTAAAGAAACGAAAAACAAACAATTAGAATTGTATCGATTGGACAGGAAACTTAAACGAAGAAAAGAAAAAATATATGATAAATGCTTCAAATTAATCACAAATAGTTTCATGTATTTAGATATAGTTACGTATGTGGGTTTATGATACGAGCAGTTTAGCATATTAAAAGCATGCTAAAGCTTATAAGCAATGAGCAGTCTTATTAAGTGAACTTGAAGGCGTGATAAACCACATTCGTCCGGGTTTTCCTAACAGGTTAGGAAATTTTTGTCGAAAAAGGCAAAAGGCTAGATTCGCTCTGATAATATGTAATTAAAATCAATCACTGAAGATGTGATAAGCCAATGTCGCCAAGAACCTAAAAGTGCCGGAGGGTATTGTGGAGATTTGAAATTAATACGCTTTCACTCAAAAATATCAATCGAAAAAGTTTCCATCCACATCACGTGCCAAATGAGCCAAAAAAAAAAATCAATCTATTAAATTCTCACCAAGCAATCTGTTGTGGATTCCGACGACGTGGATTTTCTTCTTTTCTTAAATATGACCTGTCACTCGCTCAACAACAGAGTCGGACGTCTTTCCAACAACCAACGGGTGCGTTGGATTCCTAAATGGGTTATCATGTTTTATTGTACTTATACTCTCTAGACTACAGCACTAAATACACCCTTCATATCTTCTTGATTGATTTTTCCAAGTTTTTGAAAAATAACCCTTTCGAAACGGTTTTTGTCAGATACCGCGAAAGTTTTATAAAGAAGCTTACAGTGCTTTTGGAAACTGAGAGGAGGCTGGCACACGAAAGTGACATTCCATGCAAGGCTTGGTTGACGGTATAACATATTTCAAAGTTCAGTATTATTAGAAAACTTTTATTTATAGTGTGTATGAGAGAACTAACATACCAAAGAAGCAACTTACCCTGTATACTTATATTCCCCTTGACTATGTCCATAAAAAATTTATAGATCTTACTTTTTCAAAATATTTTATTTTACAAACGAAAAGGGGAAATATTAATGCCCTTCTCAAACAATTATTTAAATCTTCGAAATGATTAATAAATAAGTTTTTTTAACTTTAATTTTTTACGTTCCCTTTAGCACCGCAGACAGATTTGACAGCCTCAGATGCACATTTCTGGAGTTTATTAGCAACATCTAAAAATTTGTAAAAATGAAAATCATTTTAAATAAAGACTAATATCAATAATCTTCAATATTACCCAGTGGCAAATCTGGAGTCGGTACTAAGGCATCGACAGCCTGGTAGCATAGGCACACGATAATCCAAAGAAATAGGACACTTGTGAATAATTTATTGAACATATTTCTCTTGAACAATACAAATAACTGATGATAAAGAAACGAATGCTTTCCTTTAAAAGACTCGAAGGAAACTGATAATTCTGAAGAGAAATTTCCACATTATATATACGATTTTTTTGATAATTAATGGATATAAAAAGATTTCCATCTAGTCTCTTTGAAAGATGATAACAAGTAACAAAGTTGTATTCGGTTAGGGTCGAATCTGGAATACCCCACCACCGTTCATTTCATTATACCTGCATTAGCTTTATCTTACCGCGTCCGATCTCATCTTAAGTTAAAACAAAATTGATTATATTATTACCAGATCAGTGGTAACGAGCTTTACAAAGGGTTTGCATGAATTTCTTTAAATACAATATGCATTTGTTAATGCTGGGCGTGGTAGTTTGTTTCTTTTCTGGGATAGGAAATTTGTGCAATGCTCTTACGACTCTAGTGAATAGAAAAAGTGTAGGGTCTCTGCAGTTTCTTTTCGGATAGTGCAAGCACTATGTCAAACTCAGTTCAGCCCCTTACCTTGACCCTGACCATTTGGAATGCTGCAGCGGGAAGACCGTCTTGCGAAACACCTTGCATTAAATGACATGATTACGAATTGACGTAAAGTACCGATGCGTAATTCACAAAGTTTGGCGGAGGTTTTATCGTACCTGCACTCCACATACTGCTCTACGTAATATCCACTCTATCTCCCTACTCAGCTTCTCCAAAGCTTCGGAATAACTCTTCCAAACATTTTGTCTAGTACATGCAAAGCTTTCGTTAACAGCACGAAATATCTAGGAACTCAATATATTTTCAAATATCTTAATTAGCAATGGCATAGAGCATATTTGCCATCGCTGGCAACAATAGTTTAGAAAGAAGTGACCTGCTGGGTGTATTCTGACGATGTACTCGTTTATTTTGCAAGTGCGTGAAGTAAAAGTTTTCAAACTTTTAAGCAACAATTGTTTATATTCTCGAAAATATTAAAAAATGCATTTTCTTTTTTGTTTTTGTTAACTTAGCAACCACTTGATCTCACACATCTTCCAGCGGAATTCCTCAGCAAACCATTTTTACATTGACAACCTATAACGCACTGTTGAGTGCAAATCTCAGGTCTCGGTCTATCGCATGTTGCTGGGCAGGCAGTACCACAATTAGTGAACTCTTCATTTGGACCACATTTGCCTAAAAAACGTTATAAATTAAAACCATTTCATATAAACATCTTGAAGATCTTCAGTATTACCCACCCGTTGACTGGGCATTGACAGCCTGATGGCATAGGCACACAATAGCCGAAAGCAATAGAAACATTTTCAATAGTTTATTAAACATATTTCTATTCAACGAAAAAATAACTGACTATAATGAGAAGACGCTTTCACTCCCTATACTTACAAAACACTAATAATTCTGATGAGAAGTTTTTCTATTATACGGGATTTGTTAGGAAAACGTATAAGCAAGCGTGTAAGTTATCTTTCATGTTAAGTAATTATTACACAAAACTAATCAGAAATTAGTATTCATGGCCAATAAAAGTATTTGAAAGTTCTGTTTAAAAGACTCAATAACTTTTGCAAGTTTATCTAAAATATGGAAATTGTTAGTTAGTCCGCATTAATGTGGATGTACAATGTAGCGCATTTTGTATACAATTTCAAGATTTCAATGTGCTAAAACAAATTCAAGGCAAATGTATCCTACCAGACGGACTTTTACTCCAACAAAGGCAGTCATTAGTGTACTCTACAGCGCCTGGTATACGAAGGTATATATACGGATGTGTGCATTATCCAGATGGACTTGACATAGACCGACGCATCATTGCACCGATCGAATTAGAATCACTTTGTGAATCGATTTAAGTTTGTCTGTCCCTCTGGTTGTCTATATTTTGTCTTGTGTCCCTTCTACAATTTGAGATATTTTGATGAAACATAGTAGACTTGTGCGTTTCGGCCCAAGGGCACTATTGATTTGAGTTGTTCGGGTCGGATTAGTTTTCAATCATATCCTTAAGACCTTATTTTGAAAATTCGTCATATGCATAACTAAAGGGTAGCGTAGAATATTTAACAAGTACTATGTTTTAACTTATCTTTGATTAATTTAATCCTCTGAAAGGTTCATTTAACTGTACTTAGTAGAGTTTTATAAGAAAAGAAAGATAAAACATCTAAATATATCATACAAACATAAAACAATACACTTAAGTAAAGCAAGAAAGAGATTCTTATAATAAACTTCTAATTCTCATCTATAAGATGTTTGGTCGCAATATAAGGTAAAGGTCATTCAACCCGAAACGTCTCATACATAAGTCATATTACGTTTTAAACTTAAACTTAAACTTAGAAAGTCCTTTTATGACACTATCTGTTCCATTAGCTGATTTAGATGAAAGATTAAGGTTCACTTTCTGGATCGATCTAAGCTTATTTGCCTGTCGAGCGATCTGTGCGTCCGTCTGGCTGTCCATTTTGGTTTTTCTTTTTTTGTGTTTAAATTATAGGTCGCAAATTTCCGCGATAGTTATATGAAATTTGTTACGCCGAGGTTTTTGGGCGCAAAGACGAACGCTATTGAAAATGGTTTAAATCGGACCATTTTCTTGCCTACTTCCCATATAACAGTTTATTTTAAAAAGACGTTATATAAATAACTTCTTTCTTTAAGCATTTCAAACACTTTTTATACAGAAAGCTTCCATCTGTTTACTTGTAAACATAACGAAAAATAACAATTCCACTAACTAAGGGTATTTAGCTTTTAAGAACCAAGCATCCTTAAATAGGGAACAATTTACCAGACTTTTAAAACATACCAAAGTTCTCTGCTTTGCCTTAGAGTGCATACATGTCTAAATGTAATGCTAGCTTATAATAGAAAGAGGGTACACAAAGAAGATTTTGAAAAAAAAACGAAACTCAATGCATAAATTACTTTGGTCAACTTTACAGATCGTTTAACAATTTAAACATAAGAAATATATTTTTGCAAATTCCAAAGCTATATATTTTACTACATCGTTAGCTTCATCGTCAATGTCTGAATTGATTGAAATGTGTAACCAAGTTTTTTGAACCGTTAAGGAAAATTTGAAAAGTTCACCTTGAACTTGGGGCAACTTTCAGAAAAAATGGAAAAACCGCAAAGAAAAAAAAAAAAAAAGAAAAGAAAACAAATCAATCCGGTTACTCATGTACTTATAAAGTCTTGTTTATGTCTTCTTCTTCTTTTTCTTGAGTATTTGTGTGGGTTTTTGTTTTGCTTTTGTGTGTGTGTGTTTTTTTTTTTCTTTTTTAATTTACAACAGCATTCAACGCCAGCGCTAATGTCTATCGTAGACATGTTTTAGAGCCGCTATAAAATTATTGCGAAGATAATAAATTGTTTACAATCAGTTGAACTCATCACCGAAAAATAAGCTCGCAATTGAAAAGCAAATAAACAAGAACACGAACTCTTAAAAAACGTCAAACAAGTGCATTAAAATAAAACAAACCATAAAAAATATAATGAATAATTTTTCAACTGCCTAATGAATAAATTGAGATAACTAAAGCATCATTTAAGATGTTGAGTTTAGATAGAAGTTCACTACGGTTTTTTTAATAAATTTTGTTATTCGCTAAAAGTTTTTGCTGTGAAGGGATAACCGCACGGTGCTTGATGGTATATGGAGCGAATTTTTTCGTCGCTCAATGCCTTTAAAGGATCCTTAAGAATCAGGACTACTTAAGGATCAGCTTGAAATCTCCTTATATTCCGTGCCGTTTTTGAGGACGAGAACCATCTGACAATTCCATCTGCGAAGACTTTTTAACCAGTTTGCAATGAATTTGAAAACAACCAGAATTACTTAACTATTAAGGTACTTCTTAAGATTTGAAATGGATACTCACACAGCAAGGCTTAATTCTGCGGTGTTCGATAGCAAGCGGAAGGAATAGTGCGGCATTTATTCTTCCACGGAATTGGACCATTACTCTAGTTTATGGATCCGTTAATAACTGACATATATGCGTACACATGTACGTATTGTACATGGTTATCTATTTGTTAAGGCGAAGCCGGTAGTCTTCTTAGTTTTTCTTTAGACCAAGCACTTAGTTAGTTGCAGTGCAATTCGATAATCAGTGATCTTGTATTGTCTACGAGAATTCGATTACAACTACAGCCAAATACTTCCAAATACACACTACGAAATTTCAAAAGAAGTCTTCTACAAACGTCAGTCACAATGAAAGCTCATCATACTCTTGAGATCAGCTATCGCCTTCTCTACCTCTCAAACTTTCATGGTTTAATAATATGACTAAACAGAAAGGGAGGCCTCTGCTGAAAGACTGAATAGGTGTTGAAACGATTTCGAAATCATTTTTAATCCATATTTACGATCGCTGTGGATCCTCATTCTAACCGTGTTGTTTCCATTGTTTTGCTTTCGGTTCGCCGTAAGCAAATCACGCCAGCTTTCAACCTCAACTGTTAAGACATGTCTCTAAAACACAGCAGACGAGGAGGTTGAGGGATAAACAGGCATCATTAATTGCGTCACGGTATATACACAACCTATAGCTTTCCAACTTGGATTATAAAAAATTTCCTAAACAGATAAGAGAAGAACAGGTAGACGGGCAGATTCACGTATGCATGCATGGATGATGGAACGTACGCATACGATTGATCGACTAATAGCTTATGCCCGGAGACTACAGCTTTCTGCATCAATCTTTAAAGAACTCCAACAGCAGCTAACTGACCTAAGAATGAATGGACAGATATAATAAGTGTAATACCGTATACCTAAGAGTATAATGTGTAATGTAAGGTTCGCAACATGTAACATACAATAGGAGATCAATTGATTCAAGAATCTTCTACCAATCAATCTGAATAATCGTGAAATAGCACAACATGAAATTTTCGTTTACAAAGTAATAAGAAAGAGTCGCCCCACAAAGAAGAAGAAATTCATTCTCATTGTCAATATATATATATATATATATCTACTTGAATGCAATCCAAAGAGATTCGAATTGTATTAAATCACTCATTGACAAAGTAAACGTGACTTTCATTTCTTGCTCTGTGTGCGTGTGTGTGTGTGTGTATATATATATACAATAGTAGTTTTTACCATTTTGTGTCTCTTGAAAGCGGTAAATCTTGTAAAATCGATTTTTAAACCGATGTATTACAAGAGTTTGAGTTGAGCGCATTAAATAATTGCCAGTTATTAATTCAATGCTAAGTGCAACTAATTGATTGTTACGGCATCATATTTAGGCGTAAATGCAATTATTTGTGTTTATCAATATTGACAAAGTTTGTTGTTGAAAGTGTTATGGGAAAATAATTTAAAACGAATGTTGATTGTCGTTGCGGAAAGTAGAAGAAATCTCTTAAAGAGTAGAAATTTATTGTTGACGTGACGTGACGTGAATGAGAAAAGTTGACAATTTTATTATTTACGCTAAGTCAATTACGACAAAGAAAGTTGTTTACAAATTCAATGCCAGAATTTTCAATCTATGTATATAACATATAACGTATAAATATGTTATTGTTATTGTTGTTGTTGTTGTTAGAGCGGGTAAAAATACATGTTTTGAAGATTTTCCTGCGATTTTTTTTCATTTTGATATCATAGGCCGCAAATATTGTTTGACAAGTTTGATAGAAAAGTCAATAACCATATGAGCTCAATTCCATCAGATTTCTACTCTAAGCATTAATGATTTTTATTAAGGCCACGAAATAAATGATAAGTAAATGCAGTTAAATCATCGACGTTTGCGGTTGAACAATTTACCACAGCTGCACAAAGTTAAGCTTTTTCTTTCTCACAAATCGATACATGTTTCATTATATTGTTTCAATAACTATATGGATTTTTCATACAACCTTTGAAAGCAAACATAAATGAAAGAAATAATATATTGACGCGGTATGAAATTTTTTACTTAACTTTATTAATTTTTAACGCAAATATCACTAAAGCTAGTGAAAGTCTACAAGGATTAGAATCAGTTATTTTTAACAATGAATAAATATAGTTGTATAACTCTTAAGAATGAATTTCTTGAAAGACATCTCGATACCACAATTAGAGGCTAAATGATTGCGGGTAAAATTCAGGAATGTATTTGAGTGAATTGACTGTGTTGGTCCCTTTACAGTACATTCAAAAAAGTAAGACAATTCAATGCAAAGTGACTGCCATATTTGATGATCGGGAAAAAGAAGGCAAAGGTTATTTACATAAAAACCAAGCGATTTCTTTACATCGATTATTTGCTAACTACGAAAATAGAGATCCAGCACTTCAAATCGAAACTGATAATCGTTTACAAAAATATTAAACCGTATTAGTAGTCGTGTAGGTAAGAACCGCGACTACCACATCGGTGTTCGCGGGTTTACATCAGAGCACCGTAGACCGCAATTGGTCGTAGTTGTAGTGAGCGCTTAGTCGGCAAGCCATTTCTATCGTATGTCTCTTCCACCGTCCCTCACTTCTTTCTAACCGTCATGCTGTTACAGGCAATACGTACTCTGTGTGATTGGTCACATTATTCGTATATCAGTCGATTCATCGAGACAGTTTCGTCAGTTTTAGGTCAGTATATCTTGTAAGTTG